ATATATATATATATATATATATATATAAATGTCTAATGTTATGAAATATAAGCTAATTAATCTAAACATTTATGTTTTCATGTTATAATTTGTAGTCATTCTAGAATGAAAAAAGGCACAATTTATATTTATTTCCTAATTTTTTTAAAGTGGTTACGAGATTGGTCAAATTGACTAAACCTGTACAGAGATTCGTTACTGAAAATAACAGATAAAATATAAAGTTTTTTTTCTTAAGATATGTTTGATAACTATCTGAACATTTTAAAGATTTTGCATATGAAATTTCAAAATTTTCTGATGCACAAAAGTATTTTTAATCTTAAAATGAACATTACTTTGCACGTTGGATAGGTAACATGCGAAAAGAAAAAAAAAGGTATGAGAAAAACATTCCTTTACAAACCTTAAGACTTGATAAAAAAATTATATTTTGCATATGAAAGCATTGTAATATTTACTGCCAAATTTCGTTAACCTACGCTTACTAATTTAAAAGTTATAGCATGAAAACTGTAACAAGCACAAAATGGTTATGAGGCCAGTCTGAGGGACTGAGCCTGTGCTGAAAGAGTTAAAAGATAGCAAATTCCTTTTTGTTCTCTCATTATTGGTGGTAGAATGTTTTTACTAGGCTATATGCTCAGACAGTGTCATCAAAGAAACAAATTAAAAACGTACTTAAAGGACTAATTTATACACAAGCTCTTCAATGCTAGGTTACACATACATGGTGCATGAAACCATTTGTTGCAGTGTTGTTCTCTTTCATGCAATCTTGCTATTGTGCACTGCAGTCTTTATTAATATGCTTTGGAGGATCTTCTTGTCAACATATTGCTTAGAACATAAACACAGAACAATGTCCTATGATACCAGAACACTTTATTGTGCTTATCAGGCAGGCAAATGTACGGATGGCTTGGATTGTTCATTAATAGGTCATTCTTGTTCTTCTTTCTTCTGCTTCTTTTTTATTACATGATAATTCAAAAACCAAAACAATGGTGTCAGTCAATTTCACTGAGGTGACATAGTGTTGCGTATCTTCTTTTTTTCTTAATTTACGGTAGAAATTCTTTCCGAAGAATTTCAGCGATACAAGTCCCTTCTTGATTAAACCAGTTTATTCTTTCTCTATACAAACTTTTAGAACTCGGTAGCTCCACAATCAGTACGTTTCTCGTCATTTTAAACTTAACTTTTATAATACACGTTATAAATCACAGCGAGTCACAATCTTGATAGCTTCGCTCTCTACGAGTGCAAAACACACACTTTATATTACCCTGCTGGCTTTCGCTGCCAGGCTTATATACTAAAGACGAGGAGGCTCAATCACACTCGAGCTTCCCCGATAATTCGAGAAACTCATTCGCGCATGCACTAGCAGTGTTACGTGACTTTCGCTATCGTAACAATAGTTACAAACGAAGTATCTGGTTTTACAAGTATTATTAATAAGTAGTAGTAATTTAAAAAAATCATAATTCTGGTGTAAACAATCTTATTATTACCTGTTGAAGTTAGCATTCTTGCAAAAATTTGGTGTTCTTTTAATAAATAATAATAAATAAACAACAAATATTAAAGCTGGAAACTCATTGTACTTAGAACTTGGTTATAAATACAACATACCTATATATATTGAAATACTACATAAAAAAACAAACAGCAAACAAATAAAGAAAACTTTTCAAAAAGGAAGTAAATGTAGGGATGGCTAATATCAAGAATGCAAAAAAAGGTAGTAGGGATGGTATTTGCATTATTCCTACATAAAAGTGCTATACTATAGTAGATATATGTTTTTTTAAAGTACCTGGCAAAATCTTGTTAACAAAATATATATAGTAAATACCATTTGATGATCAATGGCATATTTGTTCTTGGTGAGTGAAAGATCCATATTGATGACTCCAAAGAAAACAAACAAACTCCAGATCAGTATTTAAGGGATTAGTTCTTAAATTATGTAGGTTTTTATTAAATTGTAGTGAAGTAAACTTTTAGATTCTGTTTATCTGTGCCCGACTTGAATATTAGGGGTAATAGGATTAAGCTTTGGAAGTCTAGATGAAAACAAATTGTGAGAAAGGATCTGGGAAACAATAGGCTTTATTATTCTTATTATTACTTTCTAACTTAACAAGCCTTTGAAGTCTGTTGTAAGATTCCAAATACTAGCACCCATTTTTTTTATCATAACATAAATTTATACAGTTACCTTATTTAACTACATTTTCTTCATCAGAAGCACATTCTGAAATGGACAAAGGAGTTGAAAAGAGACTGTTTAATTCCAAGACTTCAACTAAAAAAGGTATTTTGTCTGAAATGTTTAAGATATGTAGTTAATATGTTGAGTTAGAATATATATAATTATGATTATCTTAATAGTTTTATAGTTGAAAATGTCAATTATTCAAAAAGTACAAATAAACATTACTTGTAGTGAACATTTTTTTGCTAGAAAAACTATAATTAAAATCTATAGATTGATAAATGATCTCCTATAATGTTCTTCTATCCACTGTATTTATGACAGAATTGAAGCCAGGATGAATTATTGAAATCTAATTGTAGAACTAGATTTTGTGTTTCTTAAATTTTTTCTTATCAATGATTTAGGGAAGAAAAAAAAAGTCAAACAAGAACAAGAGTCAACTTGTGATGCAGTAAAACATGAAGAAGATAACCAAGAATATCTGACGCCACCAACCTGCCCCCACATGAAGGAAAATGTTTTGCCTGCAGACACCCAGAGGTGTGAAACAGTGACAGTAGAAATTCCACAGAATGATTTCAGTAATAGCAAAGATGACAAAGAAAATGAAATAGGTAGTTAGTATTTACTCACTGGAGATGTTTTTTTTCTTAAATAAGAGATGAGGTTTTTAGATTTTCGTTAAGCTTAAAATCGTAAAAACTAGTAAGATCATGGATACCATTCAGCCCTTTTAGATTACTTTTCATTCAAACAACCATGATTTGTTTTGTAAGATATAGGTGGTTTTGCCATCCAGTACCCAATGTTCCTGTCTTTGCCTTAACCTTTTAACCACACTTATTTACATCTCATATCTGTACCTTAAGTCTGTGGCACTTGAGAATTTATGAGTTATTCTTCTTCCATTTCCTTAACTGTGAAGCACTTGAGAATTTGTGAGTCATTTTTCTACCATTTCCTTAACTCTGAAGCACTTGAGATTTTGTGAGTTATTCTTTTTCATTTACTTCTCCCACTGTGGTTGTTTCAATTCCAACATTCCCTGCTCACTTGCCTCTTTATTAATGAAGATTGTAGGGTAGGGATACTCTCCTATCATAAGTTTGACTTCTTTCTTCCCTCCTATGAGCCCCTCACCTAGTCCTTTTCTTTGCCCTGAAGTTTGGAGGTATTCCTGTTTTGGTTCTATCATGGAGTGATGCTGCCTGTCATCAGTCCTAACTTTCATACTTTGTTTCCACAGTCTCCAACCCTATCCTATATCCACCATTGTACCTCGTTTTAGTCCTTACTTCCTGTCTTTTGATTACTTTTTACCAACTTCTTATTCTACCTGGCTGGTCTGCGTTCTACTTGCAAAATGGTCTCTTCTCCCCCAGTTTTTTCATTGGGGTACTCTTTTTTGATATGGATGAAGAGAAACTACAGATTCCGGCCTATGTCCTTTCTTAATATGTGTTAATGCTGCTCCTCCTTGAGGACCTTCCACTGTAGAAGCAGGACATAGTCATGATATTATCATATGTATCCAATACACATCTATGGTTTTTACAGACTGTACATTAGCAAATGGTCAACAACTGTGTGCTAGCCAGAGATGTGCGTGGCCTTTTCATGTGAAGTTCTAAGGAGTGATATGGCATGTGGCTCCCCGTTAGTACTGCACAGGAAGTTTTTTTACTCAGTTAACCAGATCTTAGGAGTTAACATTCTTTTTGCTCTTTTAACAATGTCTGTCTTACAGCTCTGGCCATTTCTCCAGTTCATGCCAAGAGAAAAGCATTTAACTTTTATTATTATTATTATTACTGTACTTTCCAAAAATGGAATAACCTACAACTTATTTTTGGGAAGTTTGATTTTGAGCATGACTTTGTTTACAGCACAACAGAGCCACATATGATATAGTATACAGCTAACCATGTGATACACAATTTGTGTGCATATTGGTAGTTAGTACATGGATGCTCTGTGAACGACGAACATTCGTGCCACATGCACACTGAGTTTATGCATTACAATACATACACTGATACACTTCAGCATACACCATGTGCATGTAGCCTACATTATGTGACGTGGAGGCCTGAGAATCATGCCAGTTTATGAATGAAAACTTTCAGATGCTATCACTTTATTTCACCTTTGGTTTGAATACTTTGTTTGGTTTATTTCAAAATGTGTAGAGTGATAGCAAAAGTTTTCAAACTTATGGCTGAAGTGAATGATGAACTTGGGCAATGAACCTCAACAATTTGTTTCTCACAACAGTCACATAACATTATGTATAGATCATGTACTAGTCAAAAGTTCAATCCCCATTTTTATTTTTCACTTGTTCAAACATAAACAAAAAAGAGATCATGACATTTTTGTTTTTTTTGCATGACACATTTATTGATAACTTCAACCATTTCAAATTTAATGAAGCTTCAGAGTACATTTTATGTAATCGCTATAGTTTTTAAGGTTAAACTGTCAACAATACTACACAATAACGTCATCAACTTTACTGTACACAATCAGAATTGGACCAACTGTGTGCTATGATTATTGGCAATTGGTGATTTCCAATTGTGACATGATTGATAAAACAGTAGACTCATAAATAGCCAAGATATAACAAATCTGCCAGTTATTGTTACTGTTAACTTGTTTGAATTTAAAATTTTTTAAGTTGGGTAAAATTTATTTTAATTAAGTGAAATGATAAATATTTAAGTTTAAATTAGTCAAGTTATATGCTCTGTTTTTCTGTTTTTGCTCATCTCTGCTGCTACTACTGAAATGAGCACAAAACTTGTATATTTTAACATTTTTTTTTTTACTTGTATCTTTTAGTAGTTAATCTTGAAGTTCCTCCTAATCTATCTGCTGTGTTATCAATAACAAATAACTCTCAGAAGAAGAAATCTAACAAGATGCAAAGACGGTAAGTTTAAAGAGATTGTATTATGGTATTTGCAACAAAATTTATCAAATTTAATAAATCAACTGCATAGGCTATGTTTAGAGTTTAAAAAGTGTGTACCATAAATGCATGGGTAACCAAAAATTGCATGCATGTGTCTTCCTGTTAGTGGGGAGAGCTACAAAATAAAAACTACACAGCCTGATTGTTTACTCTAATTTATATGACCCAGTCACTGTTCTTGCTAGCCCGTGGTTGTTTTGTCAATACTCAGCTGACTGTTTAGATAGGTAAGCAAAAAATAAAACTGAAAGAGAAAGCAAGTAACATTGATTGTATTGTTTGTAAGAGTAGCACTGCTATTATTTAAGTTCATTTGAGACACGGAAGTAAAGGAAAAAAATATATGCGCCAATGTCTACAGGCAGATTTTTTCATAGTTATATATGTACAGTTTTGCATTAACAGCAACAAAACCTCTGCAATAGTTATTCCAGACTTAAGCAAAGTTGAGTGTTTGGAAAGATTAATATTTATGCTTATGTCATTTTTAAACTTGTGTAAATTTAGCAACGAAATATACTTTTGTCATACTTTAAAATATAATCAATTTTTTAGTATGTAGGAGAATATTTCTGGAATCAAAATTTTTTCATTGTTTGTAATTTTGGCTATAGATACTAAAGTCTGAATTCTTTTAATATGCTTCAGAAATCATTTTCATTAAAATATCTTGTTACAATAGAAATAATTTGAATTTGTAACCTGTTTTGTAATGCAATATTTAAGGATGTAATATTTGCTAAATGATTGCACTGATGTTAGAATGAACACCATATTTTATTTCACATAAAATAGGAGCTTGAGTTTTAATGCTATAAATTTAAAGTTACTGTTTTCAGAAATTAACTTATTTAATCAACATAATTAATTACCTATGATTACGTCATTTAGTCTCGTAAAATAATTGATTACTTGAAATTATGATTAATTCAATTAATGATCATCTGATCAAAAGTAGTTTCTAGTCATAACTAAGTTTGATTATTCCAACTATCCAAGTAATCAAAATATTTCCACTATGACATTAAGATTTCTCATTATAACTTTATATTAATTCAAGATTGTTCAGCTTAATTGTTAGTGTCATGACTCATGAAAAGAATCAACTAATTGAAATTAATGTTTTTGATTATTACTGTTTTTAGTTATTCCAACTGTTCAAGTCTCACATGAGAATAATCAATTAGTTGAATGTAATTGATTAATGAGCCTGATGATTAATTGATTATCAAATGCCTCTAATTGCTTAGCTTTAATCATAGAATATATATTAAATTTCGTTCACTTATTTTACATACATTTTTATGACTTGCCAACATTTCATGACTGTTTGTAATTTTAAATTAATAACATAAAAATATTTTACTTGATGTGCTTGAGACTATCAAATACCAATGTTTTTTATCATGAACCATAAATTTGGTATCTATCTTTAACCATATGATTTAATATCTCCGAAATCAAAATATAGTTTCACTATTTGTCTTTTTTTAGGCTTTTACAGGCCTTCATGTTTGACGGGTGCCATTGCACTGATGCTCATAAGCACCTGTAAAGTGAATTTTGGATGGGTTTTTTTAGAACTTCTCATAAGTCTGTTATGATGCTTGCTGTTCATGATATCAGCTGTTGTTTGTTTACACAAGACAAGTTCACAGAAATTGAAGGAAGAAACTTTAGGTACACACCATGAAAATCTTTTTAAAAAAAAGTTCAAACTTGAATTGGAAATGAAATGAGGTTTACAAAACATACTTACCTCCACTGACACAGCTGTACTTCGACTTTCACTTTGCCCATCTAAGCACTGGTCTTGCTTGCTCCTGTTTTTATACTCCACTTAAATGCCCTTGGTGATTTTTGGTCTTGTAACACTCTCCATCTATGTCAATTTGCTCTCTATCCTGGTACTGTATATAAGCTCCTCACTCAGATAATGTAACCACTTTTTCTTGGCAAAGCTTTTGGTCACGGTTTTCTCTGATGAGGTGCTGTGCTTCATCACATTCTGGATTGTGATTTTGGACTGTTTTCTGGTGCCTTTCTTTACTAAGTCAACTTCTCATGAGGCCAATTTAGATCAAACACATTCTGCTCCTTTTCTTCAATTAGTCAGTGAGGTTTGTGAGTTTTTTTTGGGGGGGGGGTTCCTCAGTTGCTTTTGAATCTACTCCTTCCTGATGGTAGAAATGTTGGTGGAGACAACTAGTTTTCCTCCTTCACTTGATATTGCTGGTTCATGCTGAGAGATTTACTGCTTTATTATGTGATGACATAGATATACCTTGTATCCTTGTTTGCATGCTTTGGCTTACCACCACAAGGTGGATGTATTTTTCGATTCCACAGACTAAATCTGCTTTTGGATACGTGGTGTTCCAAACTGGACCCTGTGATCACTTTGATCAGATCACATTTCTTGTATTTGTTTGACCCTCACTCTTGCTCTGAGATATATTTCTTCCCCCAAAACATTGTTGGAAGCCCATCAAGGGAGGAAGAATGGGGTCTTTTACTGACTTCTTCCTTGGTCAGGTTGTCAGTTTCTGTTCTTTCTTTGGTTTCCTGGCTTGTATGTTGTTGGGATTTATTGAGTAGCAATTCCTTGTTGAAGGGAGAATTGTCTACCTGCTGTAGCCCTCCATGTGTGACATGAGGCTTCTTTTTTTCATCCCAGATGTGTTGGAATTGCAAATTGATGTCACCCATTTGCTTTTTTTTCTTGTTGTTGTTGGTGTCTAGACTTTTTTGGCTCCTGCTGGTAGTCAGGCATGACTACTCCACATGGGTTCCAACTCCTGGCTTATATTCCTTGCTTTATAGATACTCAGAAATGATTCCATCCTTAATTTCAAGGCTCCTCCATTCAGGCTGACTGTTGCCAAAGGTGTTGGTGTCCACTCTAGGTGGGTGGGGTTTGTAGAAGTGAGGTTACAACAACTGATATACATGGTATTCCTTCACCGTAGATCCACGAGTACTTCAAATTCAGGAATCAAGGTTGGTCTTTCCATTCATTTCTCCATCTCCATCATAATCCCAATCTGTGAAGTGTGGATTTTCGTTCTAAGGCTATCAGAGAGTTATTGGTCACGGGGGTGATAGTGAGAGTCTATCCTGTTCTTCTGGGTTTTTATTCCCATTTATTGGTTGTGCCCGAGATGATGGGAGATTGGCAGATGATTGTCAGTCTTTCTGGTCTCAACCAATTCTTCGATCCTCCCAGGTTCACAATAGAGTTCTTTTCTCAACCTACATTGGCATTCTTCACCAGATCTGTGGATGACCAAGTTTGATGTTTCTGAAGCATTTTTAGGGAATTCATCCTGCCAATATCTACATTTCATGCACAGGGATCTACCCTTTGGCCTAGCATCTGCATCATATGTTTTCTGCAGGGTTGTACAAGTATTTCAACATGTTTTAAGCAGGGCTCAGCCAACTCCCATACGGCTCCAGGCTATGGAATGGGCATTCAGGCTCATACTTATGTGGATGGTTCTATCTCTTTTGGGGATGTGGGCATCTCTCAACTCTCTGATTCCTTTAGGGCTAACACACATGCAGTCCTTTCTGTGGTCACTGCACAACCAAAGGATCAGGAATTCCAATCCACTGAATCATACAGTCTCCTTCATCAGAAGCTACATCTTAGTTCTCGAGTGTTGTTTCAATTGGTTCAACATTACCATCGGTGTACCTGTACCACTCCTCTGTCCCGAGTTTCATCTTTTCACAAATGCCTCACTTCAGAGATGGGTTGCATTTATTCAAGGTCAGGAACTTCGGGATATATGGATGGAAAACGAATCTTCCTTTCACATCAATAATTTAGAGCTTCTCTGTCCTACAGGCTATGGATCAAGGTCTAGATTTAATGTAGGAGAATGTCGTCATGGTTCTTTCCATCAATTCCACAGTGGTCTCTTAAATTTCTCGTCATGGAAGCACTCGTTCTTGGTTCCTTTGTTTTCAAACTTTGGTTGTTTTTCTATGGAGCTCACTCTCATCTGGGATATTAGAGTGATATTACATGCTTTGTATTGACATCCATTCAAGTCTTTAGCCTAATGTACCATGTATCACCTCTCCTTTAATGGGTATTTTTGTTGCTGCTGGCATGTTAATGTTATAGGTTGGAGTTATTTACACTACTTGTGCACAGACCTACTTATACCTGAATAGATCCTTTCTTCTTAAGTCTAGTGGTAAGATAAGAGAATAAATCTTTCTCATAAATTTTTTTGCCAGCTATTTCTCACCTCCACGACCGCTCAAACACTGATTGTTTATGTCCAGTCAGAGCCCTGAGGTGTTATGTGGCTGTCACTAACTTTTTTTGAGTTGATGATACTTGACTCTGTATTCATTGGGATTCTTCAGTTTCCCGAGATTTATCCCCAATTATTTTGATGAGGTGGATTCACGAATATCCATGTTGCTTATTCTGGACTTTCTTTACAGGCAAGGAAACTTCTGAGTCACATCTTTTGTATGACTTTTGCTACCCATTTCAATTACTTGCTGGAGGATATAATACGGGCTGATATCTGGCCTTCTCCCAATATTTTTTTCTCACATTTTTTACATGATCTTGTAGTTTCTTCTTCTCAGGGTTTTCGACTATCCCCTGTGACCGTTTTGACAATATCTGCTAGATTATAAGGAGGAGTGGGTATTTTTGTCCTCCTCTTATCTCTCTACTTTCCAGGGTCCCTTACCTGGTTTTTCTTTTTTTTTCACTGGATACCATTCTGTAGCAAGTGTTGCCCTGACAGGTGTGTTTTTTTCCATCCAGTTTTGCAATAGTAACCAATTTATCTATACTTCCTTCTGATTACAACAGGCTCTATAGAAATGAAGTGTTGCATAAGACCATCTAGGCACTTACCAGATGGTATTACTATATTCTGCTGGACCACCACTCATGGACTATCATGAGTAAAGCTAAAGGGGATCCTTCTCATCCCTGCTGATCATCAGATTGAATAAATTGGAGTCAGTTTGCTTTAAAAAAATTTAGAAAATTTGGTTCACCTATTGCACTGTTTCCTGAGCACTGTTCCTTAGAACTCTCCAATGTGCATTACCTCCCAGATTCTACTAGTGGAGTAAGGGAGTCCTTACCACACCCAGTTTCCAGTCACTGAGGTGGTGGACAGAAGCTTTTCCTCCACTATAGGAGAAGAGGGTGAGGTTGGGGGGGGGGGGGGCTATCCAGTTGGGATGTGTGTGGCCATTCTTTTTGATGAATCTCAATTTAGTATATTTTTCTTGGAAGGAGGTCCACTATCTCCTTGTCATTACGAACACAGAGTGGTCTCATCCTAGGTCCTTGGTTGAGCACAGTGTTCCACGTTCTCTCCATAATTCTGAGTGCAAGTGGAATGCTCCTTGTCACTTGGTTGGGGAGTGAGGATAAATGTTCATAATTCCAGACCAGATGAGTTCAGTTCCTTTGGCATTAACAGTCTTGTCTTGTCATTCTGAGCCCGGGGTGTTGCCTTTCGGTCTTTTCAGGTGGAGGAGATAGTTTGTCCACTTTGGTGTTGTTTACTTTCTCTTTGTAATTCCAGTGGTTCAGTATGCACTCTGTGGCTAATTAATTCCCAGAGTTGTGGAACCTCGGCTATCTGGTTGGGGCTGGCCTACAATGATTGCTCATGTACTATTCCACCCTTGATACAGGAACTAGGTTTTGGGTGAAGAGCATACCTGTACTGGATGGAGTGTGGTTTCCCCACTCATGTACCATCTTTATCTTGGTACACTTCTGTTCTATGCAGATGCTTTCTGTATGGATAATGCCCTCACTGGCCCCTCCACCTTCTCAATGTGGAATTCTACCTATGTGTCACCAGATGTTAAGTGTGGTTTGGAAGTTAATATTTTCCTGAATATATTTCCAATAATACTTACCTCTGCTGACACTCTCCTGCCCTTCCTCTCCACTAAGAGCCAGTTTTAGTGACTGGGATGGTGTAAGTCTCAAAAAAGTGGTTACATTATCTGAGTGAGGTGCTTATACACAGTACGAGGATAGAGGGTGCATTGTAGGTGGAGAGTGTCATAAGACTAAAAATCATCAAGGGCATTTAAGTGGGGTATAAAAGACTGGAGCAAGTGAGATCAATGCTTAGATGGGCTAAGTGAAGGCCAAAGAATAGCTATGTGTCAGCAGAGGTAAGTATTATTGGAAGTACATTTTAAATTTAGGAAAATGTTAACTTTTGGCATCTTAAGAGCACATTATTTAAAGTAGGACACTAAAAAAGAAAACGGGAAATATACTACTGTCAATGTCAACTACAATCTAATGAACAATGAGGACTCTGCTGAGAAAACTATATACAAACTGAGAATTATAGTCACAGGCTTGTCTTGTATCAAGATTCTCCTTAGGTGTTCAGTTGATTTTGTTCATAGTGGGGTGCTCCAGAACTGGATGCATTTACAACCCACCTGAATTCCAAGCTTCCCAGGTTTTGGTCTTTTGTTCCTCATCTTTTAGCTGTAGCCTTCTTCAGGATTGGGGTAACAGTTACATTCTTGCATATACTCCCATCCATCTTCTTCCTTGCTGTCATACAAGCCACCCTATGTCAAGTGCTCTTAGTAACTACAACTTGGCCAGTGCAACCTTTGTTTCCGCTTCTGTGCCAGCACGGCGTGGCCAGGTGATTAGGGAGCTCGGCTCGCAATCTGCGGGTCACGGTTTCTAATCCCCATCCCACCAAACATGCTCGCCCTTTCTGCCATGGGGTCATTATAATGTAACAGTCAATCCCACTATTTGTTGGTAAAAGAGTAACCCAAGAGTTGGTGGTGGGTGGTGATGACTAACTGCTTTCTCTAGTCTTATACTGCTAAATTAGGGACGGCTAGTGCAGATAGCCCTCGTGTAGCTATGTGCGAAATTAAAAACAAACAAACTTCTGTGTCTGCTCCTACTGACACCTCCTCCTCTTCTCTACCCTCCTCAGACAACCTTATTTGGGTGTGCTATATCCTTCCCTTCCCATGCTCTATATTCATGTGCAGCTTTTGTCAGAAAAACTGGACTATCCCCTGATTACTTCTCTAATTTCCCTCTCAGTGCACCCTGCCTCCATATCAGTATACCAATAGCAGTGGTATATCTACTGTTGTTGATCTTCTTGTCATGGTTTTCCTTTGTCCCATCCTACTCTCCTGCACCTGATTTCCTTCCTTCTTTACTTAGTATTTTGACAAGGGGCTGTTGGTATCCACTATTGCTAGTTATCGTATAGCATTGTCAGCCACCTTCCGTTTCACAAGATTTTGCTGTCTTCATCATTTTGTTTTATTCCTTCCGCCTTTGCCATCTTTCACGTCCTACTGCCTTCCATGATTGGAGTCTTAATGAACTGACATGAGTAGAGTAGAAGGTGATTGCTGGGTATGAAAAAGAACCAGCAAACCCTGAATACAATTATGTAGCAGCAACAACAAAAACACAGAATTCAGTTTAAAATATTAGCTTATAAATACCTTCTCTTGTTTGGAAAAGTGCTAACAGTTTAAAATATATCAAGATTTTTGCTCTAGAGAAAATTCAAGAATTTTAAGTTTTAAAATGAAACATCAGTATTTCTTATGCTTGGTACACAATAAGAGGTTTTCAAGTTAGTGATATAATTAATTACCTATGACGAGGTATTACATTAGTTAATGTCATGTATGAATTAGTAAGTACCACTAATTGCCCAACTCTAGTTATGATGGTGAATATCACGGTTTATTGCTTTGTGATTGTACAGAATTTAATGCAAAAACTTTTACTTCTATACTTATATTTTCAATGATGTAACAAGCATCTTTTGCTACTGTAGTGACAGATATTTCTCAACTTGTTTGAATAAGCACTGGGCTTGAAAAAAGAAATGTAATAGAATCGATTGTACATGGATATGTGATCCATGTTTATTTAAAATGGTTGTCTGCTTCAAACTAAGAATAATTTCTGCATCTTTTAAAGTAGCTAACAAACATTACAATTATTCAGTCATAACTATGACAAGTATAATGTTTGCCTTAGTTATATACTATTGGAAATATGACCTAGCATACTTAGGCAAGATGATTATTAGTTTTCAACAAAGGGAACAGTGCAACGAGACTGTTATTCATTATTTTACAAAATATGCAAAAACAGGTTCTGCCTTTAAATGTGGCTGGACCGTATATTTCCCAGTGAATGGAGATATATATACGTTCCAGCTGCAGTAAATGGGTTAATAATACTTTTGAGTAATATCATTCCATTGTAATACATTGCTTTAGGAATCTTACACCGAATGGCGCATATTGATAATTCAAAATCCTAATTATGATATCTAAAGTTGTGTTTTTGTTTTTTATCTATGCAATCATCAGTGTTTGCCAAACACACACATGCACTCCCTTTTTTTTTTTCAGGATATTCAATAAAAGGTTTAGTGGAAGCAGCAACTTAAAGTCTAAATCATCAAACCAAAAGAAACCTAAGTCAATTCATAAGTATCCCCTCAGATGGACACCAGCTCGATTGAAAAAGTCCCTTTTGCCAGAAACTGAAACTAGCAATACTCCAGCTAAGAAGAAAGCTCGTATGTCAGAAACACAAGAGAGGAAACGGCAACCTCGTCCTGTATCACCAATGAAGGAAAATACTGTCACTAGAGTGAAAAGGTCATTATCTGCAAGAACAAGGTCAACTAACTCTTCACGTTCCTCAGCTATCCAAAAACGAGCAAGCTCATTTAATGCTGACTCCACAGTAGTACCTAAGGTGTCAAAGTTGGTAGCTTCTTCTACACCAAGCTGTGTTCGGTAAGTTTTGTGACTTTTGAGTACTCGGTTAAGAGAATATCATGACAATAGTCTTTAGATGTGAAGTAAAAACAAACTAAATTTTGGGTTTTTTTTTGGAATTGGTATGGAGTTTATGAATTATCTGTTAATGGCAAAAAACATTTATATAAAAATGGATTTTATTTGTTTTACATTTCAATTTAAGAATATCAGCAGAAAGAATTTTCATACATCAGAACCAAAAATGTTCTAGTTAATCAAAATTTTGGCTGTATTCTCAGCTAGAATGTTTTACTATAATAATAATAAATAAGTTGAAATGGAATCTACTATAATATTTTCATTGATAAGTTAAAGAACTGAATTCATCAGAGGTTTAAAAGAAAAAGCATGTGAAATAAGTGCTCAAAAGCCATATTTTAGTCATAGATCATTTTCTTACTGAAAATCGTAAATTTGAACATTATTTTCTAATGTTCTAAAGCATTAGTCTGCATATTTAAAATATTTTCATCTGAGCATATTATTTTTCCTGTGCATTTTGTCAGTTTATTTATACTTGGTAATTTCATAAATCATAATTATGAGCTCCTAAATTTTAATTGAAGGTATTCTAAATTATTTTAACTTTCATCTTTTTATATTAAGGCAGTATGTTAGGAAAGACAAACTATTTGGGGAATTTTAATATGGCTCATTGTAGTAGCATTTACATGTATTGTTGTCTACAAAATTTAGACCACATTATTGCTGTTCATGTAGTGAAAACACTAATTTAAGGTTCAGTTTTTTTACATTAGAAACAGTGCACATATATGTGAGTATAGCTGATGAATTAAGTAACTTGTACAGTGAGAAGCATTAGCTCTTAAGTGTAAATTCCTCTTGGGAATATTACATTTATTACCTATTTGCTGAAAATTGTGCTGCGTCAGGTGTGTAAAAATTCCATGTAAAGGTTCCAGAACTAGACTTGTTACTCTTTCGGAGCACCATTTGTAGAAGAAATGAGCACAACACTAGTATCATATGTAGTAGTTATGGTCTAAAATATGTTTATTAATTTCATTTTGTGGTGTTGGTTAGTGTAACAAAATGTGAAATTCACAATGATGTTATACAGAACATTAATTATCTCCTATTAATTAATTTTCACTGCTGTATATTTTCTATTTGAGGGAATAGTGAACTGGTAACTGTGGAAGAAAGCCTATTTTTCATTCTCAAATATGTTTTACAGAAGTCATAATTTGTTAGTCTAACTGCTTTTAAGATGGAGTTATATATATATTATTATCAGTTATGGCATCTAATGCCTTATGCACCATAGTGTGATCTATCTATTGATGTGTGGTTTGTGTGATTACATTATAAGACAAATAAAACTTTTTTAATAAACCTTTCTTTACTGGTATTATAAAGGTTTATAGTTTATTAAATGAGTTAGAATCTACATATGAGTATTGCCATTTTGGTTAAGATAACTAATTAGAAGGCTAAAAACATTTTGCTTATAAACTTGTACTGTACTTTATTTGACAAATATTTTTGAAGAAATTATTCCACCATTGTGAACTCATTACACATTTATATTCTTGAGTCTGTATTTTTATGGATCTTTAGTTTCTAGAAATGTGAAACTTATTTACTACACTACTAACTTTTAATACTTTTTAGTTACTCCCAATGAACCTGTTCTGTGGCTATTTTATTTTCAGTCGAGCCCTGAATAAACTACGGGGCAAGTCAAAATTTACTCACTCAACAGAAGAATTGGAGTTAAAAAAGATTAATGAAATGAGAAAACAGTTGGCAGTTAATCGAAAGAAATATGAAGAATTCCATAAGAAAGCCCTTCAGGTTCCAAAAATGGTTGATCAGAGTGCTTTTGTGGCATCAAAATCTCAACCCCATTGCACTGTTGTTGAACCATTTAAGTTTATTACTGATCAGAGACTCAAAAACCAAGCTTCCGGTGATGTACAAGTGAAAGAGAGAGATTTTGTTTCAAGTCTGAGGAGAAGATCACCTAATCAGCACCAAGTATGTTTATTTTCTCATGAATTTTAATCCTGACTTTGTATGGATGCAGAAAGTAGTGAAATGTAATCTTCAAAAATAATAAATTTTTGCTTTTAACATTACATTTACAATATTAGAATATTACATAACTTGGACAATAGTTGTAAGTAAGTTTCATGAAATGTAACAAAAGTGTAATAAAGAAGATATCTCATAAAACTTATTGGTTTGTTCAGAAAGGTCATCCATTGTAGAAGATAAACAAAAATCAAACTTATCCTTAACCATATGGTGTTTTTTCCATGTTTTTTATAGGAAAAGCAGAAAGAGAAAGTTACAAAACCCATTCCTTTCAAGTTTATGACAAATCGAAAAAGAGATCAAAATGGGGAACCACGAGAACAATATTGTAGTTTAGCTCAACAGATAAAAGCCTTTCATTCTCAAACACCAGAAAGGTTCCACAGAATTTGTCCTAGAATGAAGTTCAAATCAGGTAAAGATGTGTGTACAAAAATACCTTAACCCAATCATCTCAATTAATTTTGTATACTGATTTTACAAAGTAACATAGTTTGAAATTTTCAAACTTGATAATTTTTTTTTACTGGAATATTTTTATCTTAAAATGTGTTTCTCTTTCTTTTTTTCTTTTTTTGCAGTCTATAAATACAATATGTAGTATTGAAAAATTCATGAATTCAAAAAATTGATTTCTTTTGTTGACTTCAAAACATTATGAACTTGGATTATTCTAAGAATTTTTTTATTCATTTTCAAGAAGTAAATTATTTGAATACCAGGCTTTAGCTTGAAATAATAATAAGCTTTTGAATGCTTATACATGGATAATAGAGAAAAATTATTTCATATTGCTATAACCAATTGGTTATCATTCCTTTGAACACCGAATTAACTTTTTTGATTTGGTGGAATTTGAAAGAAATTTTGTAGAGATGACTAAAGTTCCATACATAATGTTATCTTTTCTTTCAGTAGTGCCCTCTCAATGTCACAGTGATATGTCTGTGGATTTACAATGCTAGAAACTGGGTTTCAATACCTATTGTGGGCAGAGCACAGATAGCCCATTGTACTGCTTTGTGCTTAACTTCAAACAAACAAACAAATCTTTCAGTAATTTGTCCATCTTTTTTTTTACATAGCTACATTCAAGGTCTAATTAAACATTTTATTAAAGTGCATTAGTATTGCACTGAAAGTTTTATGATCATTTCACCAGTTCTTAGGAGTGAACTTTTTTTTTGTTCTTTTTATAATGTTTGTCTTGCAGCACCGATCATTCCTCGAGTTCATGCTAAGAGAAAAACATTTAACTATTATTATTGTTGTATCCTCCAAAAGTGGAATGGCCTTCAATTTATTTTTGGAAAGGTTGATTTGGGGCATAGCTTCATTCTCAGCACAACAGAGCCACATACGATACAGTATACAGCTAACCCTGTAACACACAATTCATGTACAAGTTGAATTAATACGTGAATGACAAACCTTCGCCCCATGTGCATACTGAGCTTATGTATTACGGTACATACAATGACACTCCTCATCATACACTATGTGCGTATAGCCTATGTTACCTTACATGGAGGCCTTAGAATCGTGCCGGATTACAAATGAAAACTTTCAAACAATGTCACTTTATTTGACCTTTGGTTGGAATACTTTGTTTGGTTTAATTCAAAATGTGTAGAGAGATAACAAAACTCTTCAAACTAATGGCTGAAGTGAATGATGGAATTAGGCAATGAACCTCGACAGTTTATGTTTCTCACTATGTTCACATAATGTTATGTATCGATCATGAACTAGCTACAAGGTCAGTCCTCATTTTAATTTTTCACTTGTTCAAATAAAAACAGAAAAGTGATAATAGAGATCATGATTTTTTTTTTTTGTCATGGCTCATTTATTGATAACTTCAACAATTTCAAATTTAATGAAGCTTCAAAGTACATTTTCTGAAGTCATTACAATTTTTAATGTTAAATTGTCAACAATACAACATCACAATGGCATCATCAACTTTGTTGTACATGATCAGAATTGGGCTGATTGTAACATGATTGGTAAAACAGTACTTTGTTTCACTGGTTGTATGAAGAGTTGCCCCGTCCTGCTGGAACTATTGTGTTCTTGTGCTAATACCTCTAGTTCTTAGTTTTTTGGTGAGGCTGTTTGTGTATTTTAGGAAGGTAAAATTCTTCAATTATTTGACGATAGTTAACCTGGTTAATAGTTACTGATTTCTGTTTATGAGGATATGGAATGGCCTCCATATTCACATGATTTGCCACCTTCTGACTTCTTTTTACGGGTTTATCTAAAAGAATGAATTTATGCCAACTCCAAGCCTTGGATTATCAATGAGCTCAAGGACAATATGTGCTGGAAGACTTGGAACATTTTAGTAAGTTATGAACAATATGGCAGTACGAATGTAGGTTGTTATCAGTAAATATGAAGCCTACCTTGAACATGTGGTGCGAAAAGGGATAATGGGAACATAAGCTTTCATTCATTTGTCTTTAAATAAATGCATTCATTATTTTGTAATCAACAGGTTTTGTACTTTTTTGGGTCATTTTAAAGTGTGTACTTCTTTTTGGTGGTTACAAGATCAGTCAAAATTTGTTTACAGTATTAATTCTGTTTACAGGTTTCATATCTAACTTTCTTTCCTGATTACCACATTTTAGAGGAACTTTGAGCACCATGACCACAGTGCATGTGAATGGAAATGCATTAAAAAATACACCAATTTCATACATTGGATTTGTTTATAAGATAGGAGACTAAAATTGTAAAAGCAAGCTCATTCTGGAAAAACAAAGTTATATGTCTGCTATTTTGTAATATTAACTTGTTTGTTCATGCCTGTACATAGTTAAATGCAATCTTGTTGGCTTATCTAAAGTTATTTTTATATTGTTTTCTTTCTTGAGGACTCATTTATTGGATATATATTAAATCATGAATTTTGATCCATTGGATCATCCAGTCTCTTTACTCTGGAACAACACCACTATCAGGGTACTAATTCCACCTCCTGATCCCGAGATACATCTGATGGAGTTCCAGGGTATTTGGACAGCCTACGAGTCTTTTCTTCACATTAACATTCTCGAACTCTTAGCTGTACACCAAGCAATGGTTCAGGGTCTGTCTCTCTTGAAGGGGAAAGTAGTCATGATACATTCCAACAATACCACAGTGGTATCCTACATTTCTGGTCAAGAGAACACACATTCTTGAGATCTTTGTTTTTGAACTTTGGATCTTCTCTACTGGGTTCATTCCCATATTATTAGCCTCTTGACGTGCCATGTTCCCAGAGCGATGAATTTAATTGCAGATCATTTGTCTCGGCCTAACCAGATTCTCCTGACCTAATGGATGCTACATCACGAGGTTTTTCAATGGATTTGCTCTCAGTTTGGGTCTCTAATGGTTGATGTCTTTGCAACTCTTTGGAATTCTCAACTGCGGTTGTTTTGCTCCCCAGTACCTCATCCTCGAGCTTTAGCAATAGATGCATTCAGTCAGGACTGGATGGGTTTGCAACTTTATGCCTTTCTCCCAATGTGTCTGTTGCCCAGAGTACTAGTTATGGTTCGTTCCACTCCTTGTTGGGTTCTTTTGGTAGCACTGTTTTGGGCGGCTCGAACGTGGTTTCCTCTTCTTCAATATCTGCAGATGTATCCACTTTTACTACTCTCTATGGCCATCTTTGTTGCAACAACCTCGATCCAACGTTCTACACCCAGATATTCAGAAACTCAAACTTCATGCCTAGAAGTTATGCAGGCCTTTGCCAGATATAGGAGCTTAACATCTAAAGTTACAGTTATCAACAAAAATGGTACACTTTTTGTCAGTAGTGTATAAAATGGAAATTCAACCCCCTTCATCCACAGATGTCTACCATATCACGTTTTTGACTTGGATTTTTGAAAGAGGTTTGGCTTTGTAATCTGTGGCCTTATATAAAGCACCCTTATCAACTACTTCTTGATATTCCAAATATAAAAAGGTTTTTGACATTCCAGTAATAGCTAACCTTTTAAAATCCTTTGGCCCAAACGGCCTTTTCAGTTACTTAATTGGGATGTTAAGTTGTTTTACATGTGTTGTCTTGTCATTCCTTTGAGCCTTTAGCCTCCTGTGCTTTCTATCGCCTTTTGATTCAGGTATATTTTTTGTTGTTGTTGGCATGTGGATGTTGTCGATTATTTACAATTAATTTACATGGGACTCTTTATCATTTCACCTATGTTTTGCTTTACTCTGATAGGTCCTTCCTTCCAAAGACTGGCAACTAGAGAGGGAGAGAAATCCTTCTCACCCATTCACTTGACGGCCATTTCTCACCTTTATGACCGCTCAGACCCTGATTGTTTATGTCCTGTCCTGTCAGGGCTCTCAGGTGTCATGTGGCTCATACTAAAATATTTTGGGGTCATAAGAATAGACAGTTTATCCCATGGGATTCTTTGATGTCCCCAGATTTATCCTCATTACCGTAACAAGGTGGCTTCGAAAATTGATTCATATTACCAACTCTGGTCTATCTTTACTGGTGAGGAATCTGCTGCAAGTCACTTCTCATCAGATTTATCACATTTCTATCTCATTGGCTGCTCGTTTGAATTGCTTTCTAGAAGACATTGTGTAGGCATGTATGTAGACTTCTCCTAATACTTTCCTCTCTCATTACTTGCATGATCTAGCAGTTTTTCTCTTCTGAAGGTTTCCTACAACCCCCTGTGCCTGTTTAGTCTACATCCACTAGATTTTAACAAGGAGTGAGTAATTTTCTCCATCATATGTTCTCTTTTCGTTCCAGGATTCCACTATGTGATGAGTGATCCCAGACAGGTGTGCTTTTGTCATTCTAATTCTGCAATAGCAACCATTATCACTATCGTTACTACTGGTTGCAACAGGCTCTTTAGAAATGAGGTGATCCATAATACCATCTGGGCACATTCCAGATGGTATTATTTTATCCTTGTGGACTGCCACTCATGGACTATCATGAATAAAGTTAAAGGAGATCCTGTCAATCATCAGAGGTTGAAAAAATCAGGGTCGGTTTGCTTTAAAAATTTAGGGAACTTGGTTCACCTATTGCAGTGTTTCCAGAGCACTGTTCTTCATTATCCCCCAGATTCTACTAGTGGAGCTAGGAAGTCCTTATAACATCCAGTTTCCAGTTGCTGGGCTAGTGGACGGAGATTTTTCCTCCAGAGTGTTCAAGTGTGTTCCTCCACTCTTTAAGAAGAGGGCAAAGCTGGGGGCCCTACCAACCGGGTCTCTGGATGTATTTCCCAGATGTTGGTAGGAGTGGCACCAGCCTCTGAGCGAGCCTACTCATAATACTGGTTCAGATATGATCCTATGCTATCTGGTTGGGGTGTACATGGCTCTTCTTATGAACAATGTCAGATTATATGTATTGTTCATAGATAGAGG